GAGCTCTTGAGCTTTATTACTTTTGCGAAAAAAAACTAAGATCTTATGCAGAATCACTACCCTGAATAACGAGAAATTGTCCTGCTGAAGAATCGCAACACATTTTTTTTGTCTGGAATAGGAGTTCTTATCTTTTATACGTAAGTGAATAACATGAACGAATTGTTTTGTAATAAGTCTTCGCAATATTTCCCTATATACGCCGAACTTGCAGATCTTCGATCGACTTTGATCGCCAACTGTGTCTTCAACAATTGTCTAACTTACACCACCATCATGCTGAATATTGTGACAATTTACGCCATACACAAAACCTCGACCATAGCAAAAACTTTAAAAACTCTGCTGCTGAGTCTTGCCTGCTCTGATGTTGCGGTTGGTGTGTTTACTCATCCATTATACACTTTTTTTCTGGTTAAGTGTCTTCAACTGGAAAATCCTGCCTGTAAAACTCAACAAATGTTGATGATTTCAAGTAGTTTATTTTCAGTTGCCTCGTTCTTTGGTGTTGTGGCTGTAAGTGTTGACAGGTTCTTAGCTGTTCATCTTCATCTCAGATACCAAGAGCTCGTAACTCAAAGGCGTGTTGTTATTGTGGTGGCCGGCGTATGGGTGTTTAGTGCATCTCTTTCTTTATTGGTATTGTGGGGGTTAGTCAACACTCGAGCTCTTATTATTACAGTTTCTGCGTCTTTCAGTTTTATCATGACATGTATGGTGTACATCAGGATATATTTAAGTGTTCGACGACACAGGAGTCATATTCAGTCCATGAAAATACGAGACGAAGCTCGGTGTGATGAAATGAAAAACTTTGCTGTTCTCATTAAATCAACAGTTGGTATATTCTACGTATATCTCGTGTTTTTAAGTTGTTATTTGCCTGTTGTCATTTGCACTGCTGTTATTCGAATCTATGGCTCGAATTCCGTTTTGAAAAGACTCTATCTTTTCTCATTGACTCTTGTATATCTAAATTCTTCCTTGAACCCTGTCATTTACTGCTGGAAGATGAGACACATTCGACACGCTATCATGGACATACTGTGGAAGGTGTCTCAAAGAAGAAATCATCCATCTCGCGTAATTTACAATCGGCCATCGAGCGTGGTCCATGTTGATAACTGATCCACTCTGGGTGGCTTACAAGGACTATCCGTAGTTTATAAATTTACGACAAAAGTAAACAGGGACAAAGAAGATTAATCACAAACTGAGGGATATGACCCGTCAGCCAAATAATTGCTCGGCTCCGAATTTAGCTACACAACATGTCAAATTGTCGCAACTGAGGAGAAAAAGGCCACTTTGAACAGGGAAGCTGGTTTTGTTATCGATGGACCGTGAGATTGTAATTACGGATGGCAAGGAAAGAAGGATAGCAGACATGATATTATTCATATCAAAGTTTTTGTCGCTGTGAATTTGAAATAAAGACTGAAAAAAATGGGAGCGGGTGCAGACCTGAGCTTCGTGCAAGGGTTTCTTTTATCCATTGAAAAGTTTGCCCACGACTGCGAAATGTTTCGTCAACTCAGGCTCTTAAAACTAGTGACAACTGAATGAGGTGCCAGCTCGGAATAAAACAGGAGGAAACCTCCTTTTGTCTCAAAGGCAGAATTCTCAAATTATGCCATAATAGGGGACAAAAAGAACTTTTTCTTCTCAATAAAGGGTCAACTCCTTGACTCTCCTTCACGTACAAGTTGAAGAAACTTTTAAGCAAGCAGGTAATGAGAATGACAAAGATGATCAACCAGAGATCATAGTATAGATGGCAAGAGTCTCGGGACTGAACAACAAATTTAAGATATGAGTGAAGGGAATAAAACCTCCAGGTCTTTCATTGGAAATTAAAAAGTTAAATGATTCTACCAGTTAAACGGTATAGTATAGCGTCACATTAAAAGCAGAAGGATGAAAAGCAACTAGGAACTAGTATTAAAGAGGGAGAGAAAATTGATGTTAGTCGCTTGCTATTGGGTGGATTGAAAAAAAAAGTGATTGATTGCTATGCTCGAAAACTAAACATGCAGCGAAAAGCATTTCGTTTTCGTTTACACTTTTGAGATAAAAACAACGTCAAAGGAAAAGGCTGCACATAAAAAACCAAACTAGTGGCGCCTTTGGAGTTATTGATTAGCTCGCGGATGTTTGCAGGTGGTTCTAGATAACACCTGAGCGGGAACTTTCGAGAAGTTAGAGTTAAGCATGTTTTCCTTGTTATCTCTTTTCTCCTAAGTTTAGTAATTCTTTCCAATTTCTGGACGACTAAGTGGGTCTATAACGTGAAAAGTGTCAAAACATTAATCTCGTCTAGAGCTTAAAAGTTAATTTTGACAGATAGTCCACAGCTTAAAATTCAGGCATAGCTATGAGATTACGTGGCGATTCGAACAATCATTGCAAAGTCTTGGATAATATTTGTAACATCGTCGATTCCTGCTGGTTTTCAGGGGTGACGGGGAGGGGACTCGACGTCGCCAACAGACTAACTAATAAGGAGGGAAGCAGTCATGAGAATTTTATATGGCCAGAATCCTCTCACCTCCTCCCACCTCCCCCACCAGGGCCTTTTTTTTTCTAACGTGCATCAAATTGTATTGGGTGACAGACTTGTCTCTGGAGCATGGGATGAGTGTATAATAAAGATATTGCGAGAAAGGAATCGATTGCTTTGGTTCAGATACAAAATGAAATGCAAACATTTACATCTACGTATGGTCAGCTCTCACTGCACTCTTCTTTCTTTGAACGTGCATTAGAGTATTTACCGTTTTGGTTGCATTTATTCGTTTATTACCTTTCAAAAGATTTTTATTTCCTTTTGAGTTGATAGCCTTGCCAGAGGTGTTGACAAAGTAACTGCTATGAATGAACAGGCGACACCTCAAAAGAGGCTCCTGATGATATTTTTATCATAGAAAAAAATAAATGAATAAATAAAAAATTTTTTCTCGGATTTCGCGGAGGTGGACATCACTTTGACGAGAAAATCACTAAAAGATATCGCATCACTGACACGACCAACACAGGGAATGCAATGAGCACTGCAACCTGATTGGTTAGAAGATGTGTTCTTCAAAATTGGACCAATCAGATAAAATCCAGTTTGGAAGATAATGCCATGAACAGGGTTTTTGAAACACAGGAGGATTTTTAGGCTTTGCTAAGTCTTAAATATACGTTCTTCTGGAAATTCAGAGCAGGTCTTTCAAGAAAAAACACAGGCGGCCCAAGCGTGCTGTGTGTGATTTTGGGGTCTAAAGGTCATTTACGAGAATACTTAACATATTAGTTAGATTAAGCACCGCGAAAACGGCGAACGGTGAAGGTCGGCTAGCCGTTTGTCGTTTGCCGTTCCGTCTGCGATGTTCGTCTGTTTAAGCTTCCCGACGACACGACAGAACATATGTTCTCGGTCACCTTTCACTGCGACTAGAAATAATGGATACAAAGAAGTGATGTATTTTCCGCTTGAATTTGAACTCTACTGATTAGCTTTACAAGCAGTTCATATAAAAGTAAGATGATAAACGAAGCTTAGCTATAAAAGCAAGCGATCAAAATGTAGAAATAGTCGGTAAAAACGGGCTGCAAAGACTCACGTTTTCGCGCTCCCTACAAACGGAAAAAATGTCCTCCTCGACTAGAAACGGCAGCCGGCAAACGGCAAGAAGAAGAACTCAAGTGAAGGATAATCTACCTGAAGTGGAAGAAGACATTGAAACTTGAAGGAAAATAATATGATATAGCCAGAAGTCATGTGCAGGATTTTTAAGATGAGCTCGGGAGGCTGTCTTTGACGGCTGTTTAATGATTTTCTTAGCAATAAACGTCTGTAAACATCAGATTGTAGGTGCTCTCGTAAGCACACGCAATTGTCAGCGGTAACTAAAACAGATCATGAGCAAATGTCGCTCTTATAGAATCCAGATTTTTAAATGCGCGAGAACGCGCGTGGAAATTGCTAAACTCACGAAAGCTATTGCATGAAAACAAGTCCGGTGACCCCTTCTTTTTATTGTTCCAATATGATAATAACGTCGAAAGGAATCATCAGAAAAAAAAAACTAGAAAATTCTACGGAAGGAAATTTGTGATGTGTGAAAATTG